GAGGTGTTTAAAGCCAGCCATTTTTTTTTACATGAGAACGGATTAATCATTTTTACATTACTTCTTATGGAAAAGGTTGGTTTGGTATACGTCCTATTCGGTATAAGTCCAAACACCAGGAACGGATTAAGGTCGTATACCAAGGTTCCACTGTATTTGAGAACAAGTTGATTAACATTATTGGTAACTACTGAGATTGAAGTAATTAATTAGAGCATTAAACTTTCCCAAAAAGTTAGATCACAGAATAACATGGTTTTTGTATTACTTAACAAGATTAGAATTTCTGATGACAGAGCAAGACACAAGTTCTTGGAAACAATGAAAACTTTTTTGCACTTGAATAGTTCTCAATTCCCACATTCAAATACTCCCATTTTTAGTAGGAATCACTTTGAATTAAATTTAGTAATAAAAGTGTTTAGTGGTTTTATCCATTTAGCCACTGGTAGGACTTAAAAAAAATAAAAAAAGAATAAATACTAATATATGTTCAAAATGGAAACATGTCGAAACAGAAAAAATAATTCAGTACCATGTATATTTTCAAGTGATTTTGTTTATCTTAATAAAAGAAGAGTTGGTTCGCTTTTAGATATACTTAACTCATTATAGTGCCGTTATTCATGATATCTGAAAAACATTTGTATAATTAATACATACAAATAAACCACATTGATTACCTTGTAAGATGATTCCTATTAATAATTCTAATGTTTTTAATTCATAAAAGTGATAATTTCTTGTGTCATTGGGTTTTTCATAACAATTAAAAAACTATAATAAATTGTTAATTGTAAATAACTACCCAATTAAAATTTGCAGGAAAAAAGCATTATTCACAAATTTGATTCCCTGCTGTTACTTGAGCTATTTTTATGTTGCAACATTTGCTCTAACTTGGAGTAAAGCCAATATAACTTCTTAAATAACAATAGAAAATAGCAGATATGCAGAAATTTCAAATAAATGGAAATATATAAATTTAAAACAATTATTTTTAAATCTATTAAAACAAATTGAAAATCCCGCATTTTATTCAAAATTAAGTAGAGAATCAGGATTTGTTGCAAATTGATATAGAAATCTAGATGAAAATTTAGAAAAAAAGTTTTTTTACTGCAAAATTTATTAAAATTTTTAGAAATAGTTCTTATTTATAAAATAAAATAAATTAGCTATTTTTCACAAAATTGTATTATAATAAATGAAGAAAACTTAAAAGTTTTTAACTACAATCATGAATTTGTCTTCATTCTCTTCAAAATCAATGATTTTTGTCTGACAACTGTAAAAGATCTAAAATAATAAATGAAATTTAATCTGAAAATGTGAAAAGTTCTACAGAAATTTAAGCATTGGCAAATTAACAAATAAAATACTATCTATTCATATTTCTCCCAATTTTTCTTCTAAATGAAAAACTAGTACTGAAAAGACAGCAGAATACAAAATTACAGTCTCTCTCTTCCAAACATATGCTTTATTTTCCATGTTTTTTTATGAATATTTTTGTAACCTAAGCAAAAAAAATAAGATGTAATTGATATTATTTTAATACATTCGTCACAACAAAAACTAGTTGTTTAGAATAAAACTACACCCAACATACCATAAAAATTATCCAGTAAAAATTCCTTTTACTGGTTTTTTGTTATTTTGTGTGTAGTTTGATGTTTTACTTTCATGATTTTTTCATCTTCAACTAATGAGAAGTTATTTATCTTAAAAAAGGAAATAAGAATGAAAAACAATTATTTTGATAGAAATTATAAAAATTCCCATTTATTTCTGTAGAACATGTCATCATATCATTAAACATTTTTAAGATTATAATATGTATTGTATTCTTACAATAAGGATGGTTCCTGATAATATTTATTTTTTCATTAATGTTTGTTTTTATTAATGATTCATATATATTTTCAATTGATTTATTTTCCATTTTATAAATAAGAACATTCTCTTAATATTTTCAGAACATTTTAAACTGTATTATTATTTTTAATATCAACCTACAATAAATATTTAAATACTTTTGGAATATAAAAAAACTGATATTTATTTGACCTATAAAATTAAAGTAACAATCTTCCTTTTATTTTCTTCAATTTGAGTCCTAATATATGTTTTCCTCTTTCAAATTATTAATTAATTTAAAAATCTTTAACAAGGAAGATTATTTCAAAAGCCCTATATTAGATGGAAGATGCCTGACATTTCTCTGTTTCAAATCCTTTTCTTTTGAATTGAATAAATTTAAAAGTTAAAATGTTCAAACATTTTTAGAAAATCTTTTAATATAAATAATGTTTTTGGATTATTCTTATTATTAAAATTTGTCTGTAATGGATTACTATATAAAACAGCCTTGCAACCTTGCAGTCACATAGGAAATGGCTTTGAAAGAATTTATTAAATTCTACAATTTTATATATTTTGTTTAAACAGAGTATTGATTCTGTTTATATAAAATATGAGTCACACATTTTTAATTAAAAATTATGATTCTGTTTTGATTTAAATCATTAGAATTGTAGTTAATAAAATCAAATTATTCAATCTTTAAAGTACACATTAAGCATATATAAATAAACATTCTTTATAAAAAAGACATTAAAAATTGGCAAAACTGTAATTTGCAAAAGAAAAAAACATTAGTAGTATATCATAGACCAATTTTTACAAAAAAATCACCTTGAAAGCCTTAGAAATTTTTATTCCAAATTCTTGTACAAATGTAATTTCGACTATTTTTTTTTTTTTTTTTTTTAAATTAACTTTATACTAAAGGATTTAAAATATCGACTAAAATATATCTGTACAAAAATTGAAAGAATTAAATCACTTTAAAACAAAATTTTTCTACATAAAGTTTGTCTTATTACACTATTAATAGTTTTTCTTCTTTTGCAAATTCTTTATTAATTTTTTTCTCAACAGAAAAAACTGCCAAGTAAGAAAATGGGAATAAGATGTAATGGCTACATAACTTAAACTTATACTTTTGATATTTTGCCAAGTGGAAAGAAAATATTAAAAAAAAAAAAAAAAAAAAAAAAACTGAAGTTAGCTAACTATTATGTCATATAAAATTCTTACAATTTTCAATAATTTATAATTATTATTTTGTAACAAAGCAATAAAAAATTAATTAACTGAATAAATATAGTAAACTAAATGTAACTAGACAGAATATTGAATTAAACATTTCATTTTTCTTAATTAAATGATACACACCTATAATTTTATTTTTTAGAATATAGATAATAAAATACATATATATATATAAAATGCAGGAAACAAGTACATTTTATTGCATCATTACATTTTTAGCAGGAAACAAAGATAATGTTTAACTGAATCATAGCATATGTGCAGGATAAAATCATAGCAGTTGTATTTAGTTAAAAAATAATAAAAATTAAGTTGATTGCTCATTAATACTAAAAATCCAGTAAAATAATTTTTTGAAATTTCTGCATATCTTGTGCTTCTAATTTAAATCATACTATCTACTTGAAATAAAATAATTTTAAGTAGGTTAATTTTTTTTCTTGAAACTTAACTAACTGTGTGTTTAATTAACTTTAAATTTAAATTTCTAGTTATTAATATTAATACAGGATGGTGACATAATAGCCTACTTTTAGATCATATTCATTAGTTTGATCATTCTTAAATCTTTTTTTTAGAATATAATAAGAAAATTTAAATAAAATCAGCACTAACACAACTAAGCAAAAATAGATTTCATAGACAAAACGCAAGTAATATGTTTCTTAGAGATATACATTAACTAATGTATATCTTTAATCAACTTAGTATTTGTATATAGCACAAGATTCTAAAAATACTTAAAAAGAATTAAAAAATGCTTTCTTCTTACAATTATAAATAATGATAAATTTCTTTACTTACATAATAGTACTAATGGCAAAATTAATAATTAAAGAACACAAAATTTCATAGCATATATACAGGACTGGTTATATTAAATAACATGGTTTTTCTAACTTATATGAAATCTGAAGTAATTATAAGATTAATTATTGAATAGTTAATTTTATTTAGCATTAGAAGAAGCAAAGATTAATGTTTTTAATAGTTTAATGAAAAACAATCTAAAATTTATTGAAGCTAACAAAATTTTCATTTTAGAATAAAAATTTATAAAATGCAATTACAAAATAAGTAAATGCATATAAGTTTTGACAAAGAATTTTATCCAATTATAATATTTAATATAAATATATTAAAATTTTATGATGGAAAACAAATTAAACAATACAATTATACAGTTATGAAAGTAAATTTTCACAGTTGTATAATTAAAATAAAGAAATTCATTGTACATTCTTTATTTTATTCACTATCATTACATAAAACAATTACATATTATGAACATCTCTCTTAAAATTTATTATAATAATTAAAATAATATGCCTTTCATTGCCAAAGTGATTCAGTTCTTTTTACATGTATATTTTTATTAATGAATTAATTTAAAAACATAATTTTGTATGAATTTTTAAAAAAATTTTAAGTGTAAAAAATATATAACTTTAAATGATTATGCTTTCATTAGGAATACAATAATGAGATCAATTTTCTGGAATAAACTTGAATAATTGCTTTTCCCTCTCTAATTTCAAATCTAATACCTTCAGAAAAGTAATTGATATTTTCTTAGATTCTTAGAACATATGTATTAATAATAATAAAAGAATACATGATGCATAATCAACTTCCTCGAAGGTGTTGAAGAATTTTAGTTACTTAAAACACACTAATTCCAGTTTAATGAGTAAACTGAAGAAGGAATTTCATATATAAAAACATTTTAATATAACTAAAATTTTAATTTACTTCACTTGCAAGAATTCCAATTATTGTATTAATAATTTAAATGTTTAAGATATATTATTTTAGTAATTTGTTAAAAAAAATAAAATAAAATCGAAATAATTTATTTATTTTGAATAATAAATTACACTTACCTATAAGTACAGCTCCCAAAACTTCAAATATTGTTGCCAAAATGCATGCTTGCCGCAGTGTAAGTACTTTAGCACCAACAGAGGTCCCAAAAGAGTTAGCAACATCATTGGCTCCAACTCCGAAAGCCAATATAAAAGCTACAAGGAATCCAACGACCACAATCCATACAACTTCAACTGAGTATGGTTCCAACATTTCTGAAATCTGAAAGAGTTTTACTTGAAGAAAAGAAATATTTATTGATTAAACAAACAATAGGAAAAAACAGTGGAAAAATGTCACGCTAAATAAGCGTAAAAAATTTCCAAATAACAATAAGTCACCTTTACATATTTAATTTTCTGTAATAATATCATAAACGTGTTATTTAATATTTCTTAATACATCAATATTAATTACTTTACATGAATTATCTTACAAGTTAAATCGTAGTTAAAAATCTGATTCATACAATATTACACTTGTTACTTGTTGAAAGAATATAGAAATTAAGAAATTTTGATATGGTAAATCAGAAATTGATGGGTATAAGAAAAAAAAAACACCTATAATTCTATCAAATTTTGATTTTATTTAACCATAATTCTTTTAGAAAATCATGATGCTTTAAACAAATTAATCTCTTATTATTTACAGCACGTAAATAATAAAAGATAATACTATTTACAACAGTGTTTTTGAGCTTTGCTGACTTAATTACTTAAGTACTTAAAAACTTTCTAATGTTAAACATTCTACAAAGATCTTTTAATTCTCTTTACTTTTGAAATAATTTATTCCACCAAAACAAGACAGCAAGGCTTGAAACACTAAGTTTTAAATATTTAAAATCAAGTTCCATTAAAGCATACTTTTCTTATTATAATTATGAGTTTTGAATTGAGTTTTAAAAACTTTTAGTTTTTAAATCTGTTATATAAAATTTATATTAAATTTTCTATCTATTTAAATTATAAACATTTTGATTAAAGAATAAAGATAACAAGTTAAATTAAATTCAGCTTTATTTCTGATATAAATATATAAAAACAAAATTAAGTCATTGATTTAGAGAGATTTTGAATTTAAAACATTTGTAATCCTAAATTAAGACAAATTTCCAACTCGTAAATGACAAAAATTTTAATGTTTATTAATTCTAATAGAATCACATCTACAACAGTAAGCTTTTAACTGTTTGCTTGTTAATAGATTGATACCAAGGCTATTTTTCTACTAAAGGAATAATCACACCATAAACAGGAATGTTTTATTGAATAAAAACATTACTGTTTTTATTGTATGATTATCTCTTTAGTTGTTAATAGATTACAGAAAAAAAACTAATTCCTTTTATGTTGTCAAAATTACTACTTTTATTGAAAAATAATAATAGTAATTTTGATAACAAAGACGAAAAATTAAATTTTATCAAAAAATTCAGCTACTTTAATTATTTGTAATAATAAGCTTCAAATTTTCTAAAGAAATGTTAAAACTATTTGTACTAAATCCAAACATAAATATGAATAAATGTGTTTCTTTAAAAAAAAAAAAAAAAAACATATATTTCTACAAAACACATTTATTCAAATAAAATAAATTTCAGTTTTAAAATGCTTTATATAAAACCAAATTTAAATTTGATACACATTCTTTCCTTTTCTATTTTTTTATCATTGAACTATTAAATAAATCAAAGAAAAATAATTTCTAATTCTTTAATACTTTGATTTCTTATGATTTATTTAAACAATTCATATTTAAATCATTCAAATACAATTAATTATTTGGAAATTATATAACTTTAAAGAATTTAGTTAATTAGTTACTAAACAAAATTATTCTTGTTTATATGAATATGTTCATCCTAGTCTTTTTCCTCTATGTTAGGGGTCAATTTGCTAAACCTTTTCTGCCTTTGATCATTTCTATTGTTTCATAAATATGCAATCATGCAACTATTAATTAATATTTATTAATCATCAGTTTGAGTGCAAACTTTTATAATTTCCAGTTTCATGACAAAAGAATTATGATAAGTATTTCTAGTTTGTAATTTAGATTTTTGCTTTCATTCTTCTAAAACAAATGAGATTAGATTAGATTAGATCAGTGTTTCTCAACCTCTAACGAATCGTCGCCCCCTTCACTACAAAATTCCGATGCCGAGGGACAAGGCTAATGCCAAATTCGTACTGCATCGAATAGACTAGTGACTATATAATGTTATTTGTTTAATTATTGTACGATATAACGAATAAAATATGTAATTATTCTTAATATAAGGTTTTACTATATTGCCCAGAAAATTGTTTTTTCACCCCCCAAAATATAAATTGTTAGTAATCACCCCCTGAACATGGAAAAACACCCACATGGGAGCAATATCACCCCCCATTGAGAAACACTGGATTAGATGATACATTCAAAGTTATAGAAATCTTTATCTTAATATGTGCTTTTTAAAAGATAAAGATTACTAAGAATTAATCTAATTTTTCTCATTGAGAGTAAAAATTATCATTGGAAGATATAATATATATATAACCAAAAAAATCCGTAAAGTGTTGAAAATCATTAATTTCCAAATTTTGTAAGTTTAGATCATTCCATTAAATATGAAAGTATATCTGAAAATGTTTCTGCATGCATAACAAATGAATACATTCATTTGCAAATTCTGAAACATCTGAGGCCTTTCATGATTATCATTATAAATTAGAAAATTAGACAATATTTAATATACATCAATAGATATACAATTTAATGAGAGTTCACTTAAAATATTAAAATACCAACAATTCAAACAACTTATGTAGAAACAATTTAATTTTTTCATACTTTTATTGTAAATTAGGCAGAAAATTTCAAATACAAATTTTATATTCTTAAATGTATTTTTAAAAAATATAATTTTTCTGAATTTTTTTTCCAAGAGTTATCACTTCCAAGTTTTAAATCTAACTTCAAATATCTACATTTTAAAGCTAATCCTAAAATTTTAAAATTTCAAACTATGTTTTAAATGATTGCTATTATCAATACAATATTTATAAATCAAAATTAACATATAAACAATTTTTAAATTTTCTCTATTTGTTTTTCTGTTTAATTAATAATTCATATTAATTCCTATGAAATTATAAATTAATATTATCAATTCTGGTAGACATTATTTATTTTAGTAACTTAAATAGTTGTTATTTCAATGCTTATCATTCCAATGTTATCAAAAACTTTTCAGACACAAATATTTAATTATCACTCAAGTAATCAAAATTTCAAATTCAAGATTTGGCTCTTTTCTGTTACATTCTATCCTTAAGCATAAATTAACTTAACTGAAAGTACTTGAATGGTAATTAAATGTTTATTTGTTTGAAAAGTTTTTAATCGTATCCATTTATCATGCTAATGTTATTTCTAATCTGTATCATGTAAGCCATACACTGTCAAGTTTAATTAAGCATATGAAATGTATAATTAAAATAAATTTAATAAAGTTGACAAAAAGAAAAAAAATTGTATCAGTGAACATATGTTTCAGTTTATTTATCTAAGTTGAAACAGATTCAAATCTTAGCAAGTTAAAATAACATTGATAAGAATCATTCAGAAATACTATATAAAACATTAATCTAGAGATAACAGGAATATTAAATAATTCTTTAAACAAAACCCAAAATAAATTTACTTTCAAAGTTTAAGCAATTAAAAAAAAATTATTAAAATACTTATCTGTTTTCTTAATGATTTTATTAGAAGTTGATTTACATTATAAAAAAGATAAGAAAATTAAACTTCTTAATTAAGCAATGTCTGAAAACTACTAGTTTGTTTTATATTATACAATTTTGGAATTGCCAAAATCAAGAGAAATCATTAAACTTTATGTATTAAATTTAATATAAACTTAAGTTATATTCCTACATCATACTTGCCAACCTTAGATTATAGGTGAGGTTGACTTGATAGCTAGGAAAGGCTGATTTTAGAATGCAACAACTAAGAGATAATATAACGATTTGTAGAACAATTGCTGACAAAATTTGCAGCATTTTTAAGAATTTATTCAATCTTCATTCTCTATCACAACAATAGATTTATAATATTGACTTTTCCTACTACACAGATTATTAGTAATAGAGTACTATTAAAGTAGAAAAATTTTTTTGGGGATTTTGATCCATCTGAATTTGTTTCTAACTTTACAGGCTGACAGCTTAACCTCTTGACCATCATCAACATTGGGTACACTATCACAATGTAATGTTGCCAAATTTTCAGATCAGCTTTTTCATACCAAAGAGCAAAAGATTTTGAAGCAAAATTTTGCATACAACAATTTTTTAGAAAATAATTTTCATAATTTAATCAGAAAGTTAAAGCTTCCATTAAAATTCTTAAATCCATGTTTGTAAAGACAATGAATGCATTACCATTATATTATCGTAAAATGGCAGGGAATTCCTAGTTCAGGCTGACAACTATGCTGATAAATAAAATATGAATATATGCAATTAACTAGAAAAAGAATTAACAATTAAAAGTTTCCTCAAAATACTTCATTTAATATATTTTAAGAAAATTTTTAGAATTATTTTTTTTATTGTTCTTATGTTTTTATATTATAATTTTCAAGAGAATTTTCTTTAGATTCTATTTAAACATACAAACTTTATAAAATAACATTAATAAAATACTTTTAAGTCATTCTATTATTTTATTTTATATACATAATAATTACAATTTGTTTTTATTAATGGAATCAAATAAAATCTTACAAGAAATTAATAAATATTAATTCAAGGCAAAATGNATAATTATAGAATTCGAGATTATTGACTATTCTGAATTTTTTTAATATGAAATTAAGCCAAATAAATGACTTTTGAAGATCAATATGTCACTTGATTTCGTTTTTTAATCCTTACACATTAAATTACGTCTTTATTTTATGTTTTTGATCAATCTGATAGAATATGACACTAAATAAAGTTAAATATAATTAAAAATCTTATAAAATTAAACATTTTTTCCCCTAGTATTACAGTAACGGTATTAATTACAGCATAAGGCTTACAGTGCATTCATTCAAACCGGTCAACGCCGGTACGAATCGGCATATTTGTTGAATAAGTAAAGCAACTAATATTATACAATATATCTACGTGTATTAAATTACGGAATCTTACGCGATAAAAATCTCGATAAATATATCTATATATACGATAAATACTATATAATGATAAACTTACTGGAAATGAATTAAACCACGTGTTTCACATGTGCTCCGATTCCCTCTGAATCAGTCCCTCATAAAACCAGATATTAAAATCGATATAATAAAAGAAAAAAAATCCGATGGAATTTTTTTAAAGAATATATTAATTAATGCAAAATTCTCACCAATTTAAATAAGAAAAGACGCCTTTCTATTTACAGCTTTCGTGGTAAATTACTTAAAGATGAGTAGCCGATTTAAAAAGAAACTTAAATGCCTTACCAAATTCAATATTTGATTTCGTTTCCGTTCGTATCGTATCGAATTTTTATGGGTTAAATTGACGAATATTCTAGATTTCATCGATTTTTATATTATTTTAATAAACATCTACTGTTAAAAATTAAAATATTTTTTTTACGCGTATCGTATTACGTCGTATTGTTTAAAATGATTACAGTGTGATGTAATTCTAGTGTATTATTTTATTACGAAAATTCAGTGAATCATGACGTAACGGACCGACTACTTTTTCATTCATTATAAATTTTTTTCCCATTCGTTCTAAATTTTTTCGATTTTCATTAATGATGGAGTAATTTCTCTCACATAAATCAATTCTTTCATAAGTTAATGAAAGAAAAAACTTATGCAATATCGCTTCCATGATTTATTACTTTTAATTCAAAAAGATTTTTAATACGGCGACCGTTTACGTAATACACGGATTCAATATACTGTATTTATTTATATTTTAAAAATTTCGTTCGGATTTAATGTTAAATTTAATTTCTGATTGACAGATTAATTAAATTGATTATTTAAAATTTAATTTTAAAAATTAGCTAAAATATATGGGATGTGATAAAAAGGATTTAAAAATTTAGCTTTGCCAAGTGACTCACTAAAATACATTCAAACAATTGACAGAATTGGCAGCATATAAGCTTACATGAAACTGTTCCAGTGACCTTATAGCATATATTGTTTAAAGAAACAATATGAATAAAGAAAACTGTCTCATTAAAATAGATAAAATATGATTTCAAAAATAATTCAAAATAAAGATTAAATTTATTATATTGATATAAAGTAATGTAAAAACTGTACCTGTTTGATTTAAATAATATTCCGACCAATTGAAGAAATTAGCAATCCAACGTATATAACAGCAAGATCTGAAGTAAATACCTGTTTCTTCCAACTCTGTCTTATATCACAATAAGATTCATCACTAAGCCTGTTTCCAAACAGAAACAAAGTCCACTTTCATTCAGAACTTGAAGAATTATTAATAAACATGATAAAATTTATTTCTGATCACCCACACTAACTAATCCTTGATGTATATCATACAGTTAAACCTTGGAATTTTAGTTACAGCCTAATGAATATAATGTAACAAATTAAGAAAAAATCTTATCATCAAGTTTAACTTTTTTTTTCTTAAATCACTACTTTTGCTTTAAAGTAAACAAACTATTTTAATAATAAAGTTTTTGCATATGCAGAATAGTAAAATGTTTAAATTTAATTTATTTTTAACATTAAATATGTCTCAAATATAATAATATAAACTACATTAAATAATTTATTATTACCTGTAGTTCAATATCAGGATTTATTTTCAATAATAAAATACTTTTAAGTCATTCTATTATTTTATTTTATATANTTTCTTTTGCTTTTAGACTAAGTAGTAATGCCCGAAACTATTTATAAAATTAAAAAATAAGGAAAAAAGTCAAAATACCAACTTAAAAAATATGATTTGATAATTAAAATTACATAAAATTAGCATTTTTTTACATTTTTATTTTCGAAGATAAAGCTGTGCTGATATTATTAAATAAAGTACTTCTAACGATATACATAGGAAATGTCCTTGAAATTTTTAAATGTTGTAATACCCGTGCAAGGTCTGAACTTCGGTAATTATAGAAATTAATAGTGGTAGAACAACATCTTGCATCATTTTTTTTTTCAAATATTACGTCTTAAAATATAATTCATTTACATTTTCTCCAGTTTAACTTTTTAACCTTACTAGAATATTCAGCATGAAAATAAATAAATAAATAAATAATGGTTCTTTAATTATAAATTCATAGTATTTAATTCTTAAATAATTAGCATTATATATAGGACAAAGTTTTATTTTATAAGATATCTCTAAATATTGAAATACCTTATAAGTTTTAAGTATGAATACACTTCCTCAATATTAGAGAGGTTGCGGCCGACGTTTTCATGACGAAAACGTATACGTCGGACGTTCATCGCCGCCTTCCTGTAAGTCTAGAAGTTTAACAATGGCGTTTGATACGTCGAGCATGATTCCATTGACGTTCCAAACGCCATTGTCAAACTTCTAGGCTTACAGGAAGGCGGCGATGAAAACGTCGGCCGCAACCTCTCTATTATTTTCTTCTTTATATTTCCTAACATGAAAACAAGTATTCATTCAAACATACGTATAAAATAGCCAAAGGAAACAATTATATCTTCTATATAATTAAAATTGTTTTCGGATGAGAATGTATAAATGGACAAGATCTTGCTGCGAGAATCTGTAGGCTTCTTCACAATAGTATTATACCGTTGAGGAATTTTGGGTTCGAGTAATCCTCATTATTCATTATGAATCTGGACCTTTATCCTTTTTTCTATCCATTCAAATTGATCAGTTCTCCATCTTTTACCCATGCTAATTGTTCTGTTGAGGATTGTCCACCCATAATGATCAAAATTATACAGTCCCCAATTTTGGTACTTCAAGCCAACAAATTAAATTCAAATTGTGAGAGGTATTGCTCCTTTCCAATAGGTCACTACTGATTCAATAAATCGCCTGATTCAGTCGAAGAAAAATCTTTCAGTATATCGTAATTCAAAAGAAAGATAAGAGCTCTTTCGTCTATATCCAGCATTTAGAATATGCTAATTTTTTAAAGTCTCAGTGCGTGAAGCTGTTGGACATATCTAATTTTAAACGAGCAATTATTTATTGTGACATAGCCGGGATGCAAATTTTTTTGTCAGGTAATCTAATGATTACACGCGTGTCTGACCTTTTAAGGTCAATCAACACGGTTGAGAAATTTGGATATTACGTTTTGACCCAAACTAATCACCATTCAGAGAACCTAAGGTTCCTTGTAGATTGCTATCCACAGATTAATTACGATATTGGGGAATATAGAACTGATTCCAGGAAAATTATACGAGTCCTCGTATACTTTAAACACAAACAAATGATTTTCCTCCGATAGTTTGAAAATTACACAATTTCTATACGGATAGAGAAATATTTCATCACTTAAAAGACAATAATTTAAGAGAACAATGCTGATAAATTTGAATTGCGTTGCGATTCGTTTCGCAAATCGAGTGGAGGAAGATTATTTATCATCACAGATACGTTTGCAAAAGTATCTGTTAACGTAAATCATCTTGTATACATCTTCAATTGTACTGTACAATGCTGCTGATGTTTGCACTATACGTTAATGTAATAGGAACTTTAATTTTCAAACTCTAAATAAACATAATTAATTAATAAAAATTCATTGTTTTGTTTGTTAACTTTGTTATGACTACGTCTGATACTGTCTATATTCTCTCCGGTTGTTTATATTATATTATAACGTGACAAAACACGTGTTCTGATTTCTCATCTCTTTTCATCTTATTGTGTATTTTACTTATATGCATACTACAGAAATGTATAATAGAGGAAGAACGGAGCATTTGTCTCTCTTTGGGATCGAGTAAAAATTTCCCACAATTTATAATAGTAAAAGTGATTGAGATATGTGATCTTACACCCTTGACTATGGGACGTTTTGTCTGTAGTTTTGTAATGATATTATAGTGTATTCTATAGGCTAATCTACTTGTGAAAAAACCCAAAAAAACTAAATAATAAAATAAATATTTATTGATGTAATTATTTGTCTCCAAGCTTTTACTCCTTAGAAAATATTGTGGGACATCAGTGATTAGAGACTGTTTACCTACATTTGTACAAATTCAGATAAAGGAGATTAGTAAGGACTTTTCACTTCAACTATATACACAGAGCCTTGTGATAGAGACCTCTGCGCCGTCTTCTACGCAAAAACTATCAAACAAAACTAATTTTTACATCGAAGTGACGAAAAATCTGTTTTATTGCTTTAATTTGTATATTTTTATTCCTTTCGGAGAAAGTAGAGCCCCGTATTTTTGATTGATGGGATATTAAGACTATGCAACAGTGAGCGATCTGTCAAGGAAGGGTGTCTCCCGGGAGGACTTTNAAATGCAATATTTTTAAAATTATTTGCAGAACTTAAGTGACAACTGATGAGGGGCAGATGTGTGAAATGCGTATTGTCAGAAAAAAATTGAAGTGCTTTAGCATGTACGATCGTTAGATAAATAAATGGTTTTGCAGGTCTTTAAGCTTTTTGAAGTACTGAACAAGTATTTAGTTTCTAAGACATAAAAGTAAAACTTGGTTTCAAAAGAAGGAAGGAATATAATTATACAATTCTGAAGACTAAAAATACCGAATAAAAAATGTATACTTCAAAGAGATAATTAACTATAATTTAAAAATACTATAATGCCTTAACTTAAATTACTTTTCTTTTGCTTTTAGACTAAGTAGTAATGCCCGAAACTATTTATAAAATTAAAAAATAAGGAAAAAAGTCAAAATACCAACTTAAAAAATATGATTTGATAATTAAAATTACATAAAATTAGCATTTTTTTACATTTTTATTTTCGAAGATAAAGCTGTGCTGATATTATTAAATAAAGTACTTCTAACGATATACATAGGAAATGTCCTTGAAATTTTTAAATGTTGTAATACCCGTGCAAGGTCTGAACTTCGGTAATTATAGAAATTAATAGTGGTAGAACAACATCTTGCATCATTTTTTTTTTCAAATATTACGTCTTAAAATATAATTCATTTACATTTTCTCCAGTTTAACTTTTTAACCTTACTAGAATATTCAGCATGAAAATAAATAAATAAATAAATAATGGTTCTTTAATTATAAATTCATAGTATTTAATTCTTAAATAATTAGCATTATATATAGGACAAAGTTTTATTTTATAAGATATCTCTAAATATTGAAATACCTTATAAGTTTTAAGTATGAATACACTTCCTCAATATTAGAGAGGTTGCGGCCGACGTTTTCATGACGAAAACGTATACGTCGGACGTTCATCGCCGCCTTCCTGTAAGTCTAGAAGTTTAACAATGGCGTTTGATACGTCGAGCATGATTCCATTGACGTTCCAAACGCCATTGTCAAACTTCTAGGCTTACAGGAAGGCGGCGATGAAAACGTCGGCCTCAACCTCTCTATTATTTTCTTCTTTATATTTCCTAACATGAAAACAAGTATTCATTCAAACATACGTATAAAATAGCCAAAGGAAACAATTATATCTTCTATATAATTAAAATTGTTTTCGGATGAGAATGTATAAATGGACAAGATCTTGCTGCGAGAATCTGTAGGCTTCTTCACAATAGTATTATACCGTTGAGGAATTTTGGGTTCGAGTAATCCTCATTATTCATTATGAATCTGGACCTTTATCCTTTTTTCTATCCATTCAAATTGATCAGTTCTCCATCTTTTACCCATGCTAATTGTTCTGTTGAGGATTGTCCACCCATAATGATCAAAATTATACAGTCCCCAATTTTGGTACTTCAAGCCAACAAATTAAATTCAAATTGTGAGAGGTATTGCTCCTTTCCAATAGGTCACTACTGATTCAATAAATCGCCTGATTCAGTCGAAGAAAAATCTTTCAGTATATCGTAATTCAAAAGAAAGATAAGAGCTCTTTCGTCTATATCCAGCATTTAGAATATGCTAATTTTTTAAAGTCTCAGTGCGTGAAGCTGTTGGACATATCTAATTTTAAACGAGCAATTATTTATTGTGACATAGCCGGGATGCAAATTTTTTTGTCAGGTAATCTAATGATTACACGCGTGTCTGACCTTTTAAGGTCAATCAACACGGTTGAGAAATTTGGATATTACGTTTTGACCCAAACTAATCACCATTCAGAGAACCTAAGGTTCCTTGTAGATTGCTATCCACAGATTAATTACGATATTGGGGAATATAGAACTGATTCCAGGAAAATTATACGAGTCCTCGTATACTTTAAACACAAACAAATGATTTTCCTCCGATAGTTTGAAAATTACACAATTTCTATACGGATAGAGAAATATTTCATCACTTAAAAGACAATAATTTAAGAGAACAATGCTGATAAATTTGAATTGCGTTGCGATTCGTTTCGCAAATCGAGTGGAGGAAGATTATTTATCATCACAGATACGTTTGCAAA